ATGGCAATGTGAAGCCAGGTCACCATCTTTCCGGAAACCCACATCCACACATTTTAAAAGCATTCTCAGTTCTTAGGAAGATAACACGCTGCTGGAAGATGAAATCATATTATTATTATTGCTTTCCTAAATCACCACTCTAGAAATAAAATATATATGGAATTGTGTGGTAGTACAAAAATAGATCGGGATAAGGTCACACAAATATGTAGCTTTTATAATATTCGTTAAATGTTCACTTTTGATTTACCAGCCTCATCACTCATCTGGTTACTATAAAATGGCTCCAGTTATTAGCTAATTTTTCATAATAGTATTGATAGCTAACATTTACCAGCTATCTACTATGTGTCAGGCCCTGAAGTAGGTGTGGTGTATGCATAAAGTTATTAAATTCTCACGAACCCCTATGAAATAGGTACCGTTCTTTCCAACATATTATAATATAGGAACAAAGGCTCTGGGAAGTTAAGTAACTTACCAAAGTCACACGGCTAGTAAAATGATTTAGTTCCTTAATTAAATAATGAGCTACTTTAAAATAGCTCATGTATCATATTTTCTTGCATCCCCAACTGTGCTTGGCACGCAGGCCCTCAGTAAATAAACAATAACTGAGAGAAGAAGCAATGTTTTATTCATACTTGATCTCTGGAACACAGTGCTATAAAGTGGATGCTCCAGAAATGTTTTAATTATAAAATAAGGAATTAACAAGCTACCAAGATTTAAGAAACAAATTCAAGTAAGATGACCTAAAGTTATTTATACAGAAGACTTGACTCTCGGCCACTAACCGGGGTTGCTGGAATCCAAATATATACAAAATATTGCCTCTGTCCTTAAAGAACAAGCAGTCTGAAGGGAAAGCAGATATGTGAACAGTTAAATATAATAAAATGCAATTGTTTTTACGTGCCTATATAAAGTGCTATGGTGTTACACGTGAAAAAAATAGTAATTTTTCCAGTAAGATCATAAGGTTTTCACTTCTCATTAACAATTGAATCAGACATACAAATAAACACTACTTTAAAGGTTTTTTTATTAGAAAGTTTATTGCATTAATCTATCCTCCTTTGGTGATAATAAATGACAACGTGAGCTAATACTGACCAAAGTTTACCATCTTTGGAAAATAGAGATATTTTCACACTGAAAGCATTTTTGTGTTTGCTACAATCAGGAAAATTCTTACGTATTTTGATTTTTTTTCCTTTTAAAAATATATGTTGCGATTTGTTCATATCAAAAGGAAGCCTGGATTAAATACTGAATGAAAACAAGCAGACCCGGTGTTAGGTCACCACTGGTCAGAAGACCCTAAAAGGGTCGTTTGCTGTACATCTTTAGTGAAGAAATAAGCACTCATCCATACTATGTGACTCACACGGGCACATTTGTATACACTTCAACGACGTAAAGCCTTTAAGATCAAAATATCTATTAAATACTGAGTTGGAATAATAAAGACATTACCGAAGATAGGAGATTTGTTATTTTAAAAAACATAACCTTAAAATGCAATTTTTTTGACTTCATCTTATTCTAAGTGGTAACTGGACTTCTAATGTTGACATGAGTTAGTAGTGTAATACTCCCATGCAACTTTTTCAATATTTATGGTTTAAAACCCCCCAATAATTGTGAAGTACTGCTGTAGCTCTTTGGAATGACCACATTTTCATAAAGTGGTTTGCATTTCTCACAGCACACAGTGGTTGTGCTAATAGAATTGGTTGGGATAGGTTATAACTATCTTATAAAATTCTACATCGGCTTTCCTAAAATTGGTGAATATAATTTACTATAGAGATAATGCTAAACACATTGCATGCTCTCTTGGTATAACGACTATAGCATGTGAGAGGAAATTATAGCAAGCATTGTAAATAATTACGAAATATTCCTTATCATATAATTCACTATAAATAACATATTCTCCATATTACAGCAAGTACATAAGCTATTAGCTGGGCCACTTTTGATGTATTTATATATAAATACAAATAGTTTATAAATTTCCTGACATATCATCCTCTAGGGAAAGAAGAGTTTGGCTGACATTCCTACGTGAATGGCTTTTCCTTGGTATTGCCAAGCTCATTCACTGCTCTGACCACTGTAGGATATGAGGAAGAAATTAATTTTAGCGTCCCAATGAATGAGCTCAAAGGTCAAGAGAATAGAGTCACGGTGTATAAAGAATTACATCACCATTAAATTACATTAGACATATCTGGAAGGATCCAAAGGTGGCAATTTCAGGGGGCGGAAAACAAACTTGCCAGGTCCTTTTGTCTTTTAATTCCAACAGATGAATTTCTCTCTTTACCCAAACCTGGATCAAAATATCTAGGAAGCTTTGGCTTCTCAACTATACCTCTCCAAATACACTATGTCATTTTTACAATATCCAAAATGTTATATGTGTTCTCGTGTTTGAAAAATCTTGAGTGAACTCTGGTGAGCAACTGTATCGCCGAACTCTGTATCGCCTCTGATACAAATGTGGTGTCAGAACAGCATCAATCCTGAGCAACTGGTCTACCAGAGAGAATGCACAGGGAGGGATGTCAGTGCCCCTTCGGAATCCACATCTGCTGCTCAGGCTTTCTGCTTGAGATGCTCTTGTCTTTGCACAGGAAGCTTTCAGGGTTTCGGTGTTTTGTTTTGTTTTTTTTTGTAGCGTAATGAGAAAAAAAATTTTTTTTAACTCTATCGAGGATGTTATGGGGAGACTCAAATGTATCATGGAATAGTAAAGAGATGATGCTTAAACGAGAAGAGGAAAAAGACTTTTTTTCTTACCAGAAAGGACTTTTCGTGGCTAGTGACCCACAAGTGTCTCAATTAGATGCCTACCCACCCCCTTAAGCCAAGGGTCAGCAAAAGGGTAACTGTTGGAATGAATCAATTGTTTCTAAGGTGTGTTCCAAGTAATTGCATATGTCCTTGAATTAACTATGGGGTTCTCAACAAGAAACAACCACCAAAGGAGTGAATGTTCGAGGTGGGTTTGTTCTATCATCTCCCTGACCAAATCACCACCATGGGGGCAGGTGTGTGATGTGAACTCACTGGATACCCCAACTTGATAACTGGCAGGGACAATGCCTTATGTATATATATTACTGGTGGAACGGGTGCACAATACATATATGTCAGCTGATTCACTGAGACACCCCATAGGGTTTCCTGTCTTTAAAGATTCACAGCCACAGTTTTCTCTCATGAAGTTGCTTCCTCATGCAGCATTTCAGCCCTTCCGCTTGCTCAGGTAAGTCAAAGAGAAACTGGCTTTTTTGCATCAGGTTGGCATTCTCGAGACAACCACCTTGAAGTGAAAAACGTTAGTGCGTGACAGGTGTGCACAGGTTGAGTATCCATTCTGGTTTGCTTGGGACAGTCCAGATTTAAGCCCATGGCAGGTTAAATATTAATAATGCCCTCATTTACACTCAAAAGTGTCCCAGTTTGGATGATCAGTTGTGGGATCATCCCAATGAAGGTCTTCAGTAAGACCAATCTGTGGTACTTGCTAATAACCAACAGCTCCTCACTCCCCTAACCCCCTGGCTTAGCCAAGACTCAGAACCCACAGATCAAAAGGAGCTCCATTTTGGAACATTAAAAAGCTTCTCTAGTTCAATTATAAGCCATTCACCTACGGTTACTTTACTATTTAAGTAATGACCGATTTTTAATAGATTTGATTTATATACTTATGTCTCCTCCCTCCAAAAGGAAAAAAGAACAATGCATTTTTATCAGGCAAAAAGATAAGTGGCAATAATACAAGAAACAATGGACATATAATATAATTTTTTTCATTAACAATCCAAGCACTACAAAACATAGAATATACAACTTAAAAATGGAAATACAAATTAATGAAAAATGGGGTACACGTCATATTAGCAATGCAAAAGACCAGCTTAAGCATAGTTTCTCTAAATCAACAATTAATAAAAGGAAAGTGCCCTTTTCTCAAATATGCACAAAAATATTCTGGTCACTTCTAGGGAAAAATTAATCAAAACTTTCTAATTCTATATTACAGCATGTGTTACTAATGGTTTACAAAACCGAAGCATCTTCTTACACTTAAAATTTACAACCTTTTCCAATCATTATACACTTGTTCAATCCAGTCTCTCAAAAATAAAACTATTTCATTTCCATATTTATGAATAATTATTGATATGTTATGGACCTTAAGTGGTGAATATGTACGATGGGGACAGTGATCAGAATGACCTCATGGATCAAAAGTGGGCCAAGGGTCGAAGAAGACAACCCTCTGCCGGCCACACCTGTATACTGATTCCTGAAATAATTCTACTATTTCTAAAATAATTCTAATTTTTCATTTCTTCATCCTAAAAAAGGTCTAAAGTTTTCATATTTAAATGTGCTAACCAATTCTAGAGTTTACTCCAAGTCTCTCCAGGTATGCCACTTGACAGAACATTTCTTCCTGGGTTCATATTATCCCTATAATTCTGAGTCCAGCTGAAAAAAAATAAACATAAGTACTCGATAATATGCCCCTTCTCTTCTACACGCTTGGTGATTCACACTAGATTTTATGACAAACTGCACAATCCTCGGTACAGCTCTGCAATGCAAATGAGAAAGAAAATATTGAAATTGCACTCGTTCAAGCCATACTGTCAACAGCCACCGCACCCCATGACTCCCTCCCAAGGACTTCCGCATGTTCATGCTTTTAGCCCAGATTTTATAGGAAGTCGCGCTTCACGAGTGCAGTTCTAAAACTAAGAAGAAGAGGAAGTCACATTGATATCTCCTTCCGAGCCACCTGTATAAGGAGGACCTACGGTCAGTCAGCCTCAGCTTTGAGCTTTCTGGTTCATGTCCAACAGTTGCCTACCAAGTAGATTAACATTCACCTAAGGTGGCAAACTTGAGGATGGAGAAGAACCGAAGTGCAGTTCTGGAAACTGTTCCAGCGGCTACCGAGCCGTCCTTTGGTGTCATTCGCTGCTGATGCTGCTGCTGCTGCCACCGTCCTCTCGCTTGGGGGAGGAGGAACTGTCTCGGACTGGCAGCAGGTCATAATGGCAAGGGATGTGACTGTTCTTTGGGAGGTCGTATGGATCCTGGGTGAGATGCCCATTATTGCTGAATATTCCTTGGACAACACTCACTGTAGGTTCTGTGACAACCAGGGACACATTAATTTATCAGCAATGGAATATTTTAAACAGAATAGAATATGGCATTTCTTGCGAATCTCAAACATATAAGAGGAGCACTTCCAAAAATGTAAAGAAACACTATTTTAAGAAACAAAGGATGGGGCGCCTGGGTGGCTCAGTCGTTAAGCGTCTGCCTTCGGCTCAGGTCATGATCCCGGGGTCCTGGGATCGAGCCCCACATCGGGCTCCCTGCTCTGCGGGAAGCCTGCTTCTCCCTCTGACCCTCACTCCCCCCTGCTTGTGTTCCTGCTCTCACTTGTCTCTCTCTGTCAAATAAATAAATAAAATCTTTAAAAAAAAAACAAAAAAAACAAAAAAGAAACAAAGGATGGTTTTATAATCACATGGAGGTGGCTACGCTATGGCTGTTAGACCAGCTGATGCACACAACGGCGTTCTGAACAACAAGGTGACTGTAGGGTTGGGATGAAGACATCCAGGGACCAGACAGAAACCCTGGATGAGAATCATTGTCTGAAAAGCACCTTGTAGGTAATCTAGTCCAAATCCTTTATCCCGTAGGTGAGAAGACTGAGGTCCTTGCAGGGTAACTCAATTCATGGAAACACTTAACAAGTTCACTGTAGGACTCAGGACCCAGGCTTGCAGTTGCATGCCCACATTAAAGTGTTGGGTTTACCAGATGGCTCAAAGGGGGATCGTGACTGACTTTTTAAAAATAAACTTAGGTCACTATACCTTCCATTTTTTTTTAAAAGCTGTCTTAATTCTTTAAGAATAGTTATTCATCTTTTCAGTGACATGTCTGTGGCATAAATTAATTACTAGTGACTAGAGTTAAATTAGCCACTTCATTTACAAGTAATAGAGAACTTTTTAAAGTTTAAATCATAAATTTGAGGAAGAGAGGAAAAATAAATTAAAATACATAGCCCTACTCTACCTACCCAGTGACAGCCCCAAATGGTATTTGTAAGGGGCAATCAAAATTCTAATTTTAAATTGAATTCTTATTAATCGCCATCCCATTCACATCCAAGAATATGAGCAACATATCATACAAATTTAAAAATAAAATGTTTCAATCCTGTAAAAGCATTATATTAACGTAATGAATATGCAACCAGGAAATGGAACCACCTGTTTCATGCCCTTGAACCATTTGTTTAGGCTAACTCAACACAAGAGCTAATGTGAGACATATGCTATTCCACAGGTGTGCTCAAATAGTCACTATGGTTACAAAACAAAAGGTGAACAGCCAGGTGAGAGATAAGGAAAATTTACTTTAAATTTTCTAAATGCCATTTTCCCTTAAAAATTTATTTGACACCAATTAATAGGGTCACTGAAAACACAGGTCGCACTGAAAATATGGACCTGTGTCTTCAATAATGTTTATACAAACTGTTATCGTATACTCAAGGACTTTTAAAACTGTTTAAAAAAAATTCCTATATTAGGTTCTTCCTTTGGTTAGGGGAACTCACCAACTTCATAGACATTCTTGTTGGCTAAAGTTGAGTTATTGATCTCTGCATAGGGGGAATCTCTCCGTGCTGGCGACTTCATCTCCACATAGCCACACTCTGAGTTTTTCGGGATAAGTACAGGTGGGTCTTTAATAGTGGCATATGGGTTTTCAGAACTGCTTAGAGAGCAGTTACTTGAATTATATTCGGAATTCTTGCCCAAATCTGTAAAGAGAGATGGGGGAGAAAAGCAAATACTATTTTATGGACATTAATTTTTTTCTTGGGGGTAATTTACTCGGACAGGTTACTTCTTTCTCTTTGTAGCTACATTTCTATAATTACATATATCGACAACAACACCATACATTTCCACTTATTTTGGAGAGAATCTGCTATAAAATTACCCATCTTAAAGTAATTTTAGCTCCCCTCTCAGGTGAGTATCAATGTGAACATTGTGGATTTGATTTCATTTTGATTTCGTTTCACACACAAAATTAATTCCATTCCAATTTACTAATAGTCTCTGAATTCTCAGAGGTTTCAGTCAAGAAACCACCTGTGGATACCCCTGGGAGCACAAGAAAGTTCTATCATGGTGCTGAGGGAGGTTTTTGTGATGTGAGATTTCCTTGTAAAACCTCAGGACTGGGCACGTGACGTTATTCATGTAACCATGCTGAGCTCTTGTTTTCCTGCTATTTCCTTTTGTGTGTGTGTGTATTTCTCTCTCTCCGTAAGTCCTACATCTTTTCAAAGAAATATGAGTGTTTCCCCAGCAAACAGAAACCTTTGTTCCCCTAGACTTATGCTCTAACACCATGCACCTATGGTCACGCTCTTGACCTCAGTCAAACATGTTTGTGTGTTTGGTGGGGTAATTAACCACATCAACAACTGTACATTTTCTCTACACTGCCACTCTTGCTTGTTTAGCCAATTATTTCTGAATAAATTGTTTTTAAAATTATGGTTCTGATAGATGTATTTCTTCCTTAAATTTACACCATACCTTTCAAGGATTTTCCCATATAACTTCTGTCAAGTCCAAAAGCTCCTGTGATAAAGAAGAAAAAAATCTCTAGTGAGATCTGGAAACAAGAGAAAACCCATCTAATATTCCAAGGTCATGGAGGAGGATGGTTTGGGCACCCACTATCTCCCCACTGCAGGAAATAACCAAGCCTGTTGCTTTTCAAACCTTTGCACCAGGTCGCTCATGCTTGATGTCTTCAGCACTTAGAATTTAAAGTACATATATATATCATTCTGATCATCCTCCTGCTCATTTACAGTGACTTTGGGAAAGGCTGATCAGTACAGGTAGAAAATAAGGCATGGATGAATTGGTACACTTGATTCAAGGTCCCACTGTGGAAAGGACATAGTCAGGACTAGAACTGAGACAAAGGACTTCGATTTCATCACTCGCTCAGCACATGACTTTGGGCAAGATGTTCTACTCTCTCTGGGTCAATTTTCTTATCTCTAAAATGAAGAAAACAAAACCTGCCTTCCAAACTTTACAGGGCTGGTGTGATCCTTAAGTGAACTAGAGCGCACGAAAAGGCATGGTAAACTTTGAGGTGCTGTATAAATGAATGGTGTTTCAGTGACTGTAACACTAAATGTGTCCTACGACCCCAGCTCCAGTCTACATGCAAGCATTCCAAGGCCTCTTCCATGATCTTTTAAATGGAATGTTATAGACTTACATTAGAAACAGAGAGTAAAGTAATGACTTATGACAAATATTCAAATAAATAGGAGAATGGTAAGGAGACGATCACCTGCCACTGTGCATGTGCCCCTTAGAGTGATAGTAGACTCAAGTTAGGATGTCCTGGGGGACACACTTTTGTGAAGGAAGAGGGAGCATCCCTTAAAGGGAGAGGGTGTGTCTAATATCGTGGGACAGGAAATAGGAATGTCCTCCTTTCTCTGAGAATGTTTTCCTGTCTTGGGTCTGCACTGTGAAGTCTAGCCAAGCTCCCAGCTGGTGGGAAAGGTGCCCTGTTATGCAGGGAGGCATGATAAGGATAGTGAATTAACCTAATCAAAGTGCGGTCTGGTCCTTGCCCTTAGTTCCTGGGAGGTGATCTCTAAGTCCTTGGAATATCCCACCCAGTAAGAGTGTTTTTGTTTACCTGGGGCCTAGGGTTACATTGGATAATGTAACAAAGTGATTTATGAGAGGGGGTTTGGGCCACTTAGTGTCAGCTCCATCTCCAGATGGGCCGGTTGAAAGGTCAACCACACGGGTGGTCAACCATGTTGACCCAACCAAACTCTCATAAAAACTCTAGACACCAAGGCTGAAGCCAGCTTCCTTGGCTGGTAATACTTCATGCGTCTTGTCATATACTATAACCAGTAAAAGGTAGCACTTTCCATGATTCCACTGGAAAAGGACAACTGGAAGTTTCTGGCTTGGAACTTCCCTTGACTCTGCCCACTGTGTCTCTTCCCTTGGCTGATTTTCCTCTGTATCCTTTGGCTGTGATAAACTCTAACCATGAGTATGACAGCTTGCAGTGAGTTCTATGAGTCTTTCTGTGGAATTATGGATCCTGAGGGTAGTCTTAGGGATTCCCAGACTTTGTAAAGGGACCACATGAAGGTGGGTAGGACCTGGGGGCTCTCAGAGCTCCCTATCAGGGAACTCTGTCTTTGCTACTCTGCCAGATTCACTCAGCTGTCTACAAACTGTAGCAAAATCTTGTTAATTGTCTGTCTTGGTCTTAACTGTGCAACGGCTAGCATTCCCCAAGAGGCTAAGGAGAGGAGCAGCCTGAGGTGGAGAGTAAATTAGGGAACAAGAGAGGCACTGTCATACCAGTACCCCTGCCAGGTTTTCTCTGTGGGCTGTTTTAATGAGGGAGCAGGCGGTTTTCCTCATATAAACTCCCATATGTTCCAGTCCCTGGATAGATGCTTTCAAATGCTTGGCTTAATCTAATTCGTACAATGAGTCACAACATGATCACTGTCTCTGTTTCACAAATGAACTGATCCGCTTCGTGGGGTTGATGAGCCCGGTGTCATAGAACAGAACCAGAAATCAACCTTAGGGCTTTTGTGTCAGGTTCAGAGCTCTTTCAGACAACATCCCAACAACTTTGCCATCATGTCAAACACCTACACATTTCAGCATCCATAGTGTGCCTTATCCATAGTGTGGTAGACAGAAACACTCTTACTGGCTGGGATATTCCAAGGACTTAGACATCCATAGTGTGTCCTTTGTAAAGGAAGACTTTCTGGGCAACAAATGTAAGGGGACATTACATGCAGAATTGCTCTTGGATGGAAACACATGAAGGAGACCCAGAATTTCCAATGAGGATTTTACATTCTCAACAATCAGTCTGGTGGTTCTTACTGAGACAAAAAGCAGAGAAGTTTATATGTGACCACTGCCATGACTGTGTTCTAGAGTCTGGACCAAGTGTAGCAGGTGAAGGTGGAAGAGGAGAACTTTGTTCTCATTAGTGCCAGGTAGTGCTTTTTTTTTTTTTTAATAATTTATTTATTTATTTGAGAGAGAGAATGAGACAGAGAGAGTACATGAGAGGGGGGAGGGTCAGAGGGAGAAGCAGACTCCCTGCTCAGCAGGGAGCCCGAAGCGGGACTCAATCCCGGGACCCCAGGATCATGACCTGAGCCGAAGGCAGTCGCCCAACCAACTGAGCCACCCAGGCACCCCAGGTAGTGCTTTACTAATATCAATTCATGTATTTCTTGGAGCTACATTACTAATGTAATGTAGACTTAAAAAAAAAATCTCTGATGTTAAATGATTTGACCTATAGGTATACTGTGAATCTGGTATCTAAGTAATTTGACTGTGTTCAGAAATGCACAGCTATTTGATAACGTGGATATAGAATGCAGATAGAAGTTAAGAATTTGTATTCATTTTCCTACTTTAACATTTGCATTTCTATAGTAATAGGGGATTCCAGAGCCCATAAGGATTAGTTCCTACATCTGGCTCAGGTGATTCGGCATATATGGTATTCCCAGAAAGATCAGGGGAGGAGTAGTTGGAAGACGAACTTTGAGACCCGATTTTACCCTATTCCTTCCATGAAGTCCTGGGCAACCTCTCTGTGCTTCCCAGTTTATTACTTTAAAAAACCAAGATTCATGGAAGGGTCCACCCAGTAGGGTTGTCAGATTCACCAAATAAAAACAAAGGAAGGACATTTCAATTTGAATTTCAGAGAAACGACAAATAATTTTTAGGGTAAGTATGCCCCATGCAACTTTTGGGATATATTTATACTAAAAAAATTTGTTGCTTATCTGAAATTCAAATTTAAATGGGTTTCCCAGCCACCCTACCATCAAATAAATGCAAATGAAAGGGTTTGCTACCCATAAGGTAATGCACATATCAGTTACGGCATCATCAAGTGCCTCCCTGAAATCAGGGGCAACTGCTTGGCGATGGCACAGTTCACTTAGTGGGGTACCACAGCAGCTCTTTAAGGCTGGTCCAGGAGGTCCTGCCCCCTTTTCAGGAGGGCCACGAGATCAAAATTATTCTCCTAATAATACAATGACATTACTTGTCTCTTTCACTCTTGTTCTCGCTCAAGTGCGTGGTGGTTGTCTAAGAGCTGCACCAAGTGTGGGATCACCAATGACTGAATGGAGAAGCAGATATGAGAATCCATCTTCTCTGAAGCTAGACGTTAAAGAGATCCAACAAATGTAAAACAGTGCCACTCTTTTCACTAATTTGTTTTTGTTTTAGAAAATGTAGTTATTTTTTTCATAAAAATGTGTTTTACGTTATCATGATACTAGATTACTGTTATTATAAACAAAGCAATAGATAACTATTTCAAATGGTCTCAGTTTTAATTTGTAACATGGTATCAATAGGTATAACACATATGGAAAGAAGCTCTTCAGGATTCCTGATAACTTTCAAGAGTGTGAAGGGGTCCTGATTCCAAAATGTTCGAGAAGCCCCGACTTACTATCTTCCTGTTAATATCTTCAGGGAAGGGGCCCTCAAGTATGGGTGCCCGTATTAAAAGAGAGCAAAGGGGAATGCACACCCTGGTACCACCCTGACAGGATTCAGATCCCGGCTCTACCATTTAATAGGCTTTGAGACTTTTCTCAAGAGACTTACCCTCTTTGTGACTCAGTTTCTCAACTGTTACATGGACATCATGATGATGATAATTACAGTACCTACTTATCAGAGTACTTGTGAGAATCGTGTAAATTAATATTTGTAGAGTTAGAATGGGAGCTACAAGCAGGCAGAGATTCTCGTCTCTTTTTATCAATTCCTGGCACACCCTAGGACCTTAATAAATGTTTGTTGGATGAATAAAGCAAGTAGGACAGTAATAAGCCCCATATAGACATTAGGTATAATTCTATCATTCTGGTTTTTTTCATGCATATTTCCAATAGATCGCTTTGGCACATCATAAATCTATGACTATCTGAGGGGGCTACAAGATAAGGGAGCTTGTTGAAGACGGATGTTGGGAAAGAACTTGCCAAGCTCGTTGAGGTAGCCACCATGTTTCCAGTCCGCCGGCAGTGTGCCCGTGCAGTCTGCCACTGGGCCTCTCTTCCCAGGATTCACATTTTTCAGATTCGCAAACAGCTGATTGTTCTTCGACTGTTAAGAATATAAACCGTCAAAGATGTAAAAAGAGAACACAGTGTTACAGATGTGGGAAAGCTTGTCCGTAGCATGGATCAAGGGCTGGTTCTTCAACGAGGCCATGCGGGGGGGGAGGGGGGAGCAGAGGTGACTATCGGATGGGCCTTAAAGGGCAGCAGGAATACATGTCCCTTGGCCCCAACGATTCCCCTACTGCCTCAAATTCTTCATTTTGCTTAGTCGCTCTGTGCCCATTCAACTTTACTTGAGTTAACGTACATGGAACTTTGAATTAAAAAAAGTTAAACTCTTGGTTTGAGCTCTCCTGTCAAACACTGTATGATTTTTTTATGAGTCACCAGTGACTCTGAGCAGTTTTCTTAGCAATAAATGTGAGGGTAAGATTATGTACTTTGCCTCCTTCCCTGAATATGTAGGAGAACAAATGCAATGATGGACACGAAAGTCTTTAGGGCATGGGAAGTGCTATTTAACTATTAGGCACTATAATTAAAATCCAGCTGCATTAGCTTAATTGCAACAGAATTAATTTGATTAGCTTGGTCTTCTTCTAGCAGAGAGCTAAAATGAGACAATGGAGATTGGAAATATATAATTTGGGACCATCGGAAGAAATGCTTGGGATTTCCGAGGATTCTCGAGGAGACGGGGGGTAAGGTGAGTGGTATGGGAGGAGTATCCCTGGGTGTCCACCCTTCTGGGTGCCTATAAAACGAGGATAACAATCACTCTTGAGTCACAGGATCAGTGTGAAGGTTAGATGAATTTATATTTGCAGACTGGTTAGAAATGCTTGGCACATAGTTTCTATTTGATCACTTTTGACCTACACAAAGTGTAGTTCAACCTAAACCTCACATGGAGTTTGTTTTTGGGAGGAAAGGACAGGTGGGCCCAATAGGGCACTAGAAGTCAGGTGGTCAGAAAAGACAAAGGAAAAGACCCGGGATGGAGTCTGCTAAGGTTGGCTCTGAGACATCATTTTAAAAAACCTCAGGCAGTAATTAGAAACATTTTTCCAAAGAACTACGCTGGCACCGGTGCAAATTGGAGACAAGGAGACCGTGACTCGGACCGCAACCGCCTCCCTCACGAACTGGGGAGCTCTGTTTTGAAGTGAATGACACTCCCCATTGCGCGGGTTTTTCACCAGTGAACTTGAGATTCTAATACGCAGTCAACAAGGTAAGAGATATAAAGGACCGAGAGCCGCATCCGGCCCACAGCAGCTCTCCCTGCATGCTCCTTCCTGTCGGCTCTCTCCCCTGCGCACCTGCAGGGCCTGGGAGTCGCTTCCTCTCACCTTGGCGATGGTCATCCTGCCCCTGTTGTTGACATGAGGGGATGTGGCACACTGGGTGAGCGTGTGATAACTGGGGTTGGTGAAGTAATGGCTGTTCGCACTTCCCCCGTTGCTGTGGGGAAGGGTTTCTGTAAAGAAGAGAAGGAAACGGTGAAGGCTCCCCTAAGTCTGCATGGATAAAAGGGAAGCCAAATAACCAGAACAAATGTCTGTACCGCTTCCATATCACAGGCTGGGCAGAGTCCGCTCCTGCCCAGCATACTCAACAAAGCTTCTAGGAGCAGCAGGTGTCTGCCTCCCTACCTGCCTCCTAGAAAACTGCAAGTGTCCTCTTTGCTCTGGGGCTCATACACCTGGGAAGCCATCACTTTGAAGCTACTTCTGCCATAACCTGCCTCTTTTTTTTTTTTTTAGACACTTAAGCTCTCACCATAATATTCTGTGCTAGAAACAAATTATTAAGCAAATCAGCTGCTTTAAGTATTCCCCTAGAATCTGTGTATTTATAAACATGTAACCCATCTGAAATCCTCCAGTAATTGCCCAAAATAATAAACACTAAGTGTACAAATTCCTTAGTTTAAGTAGTTTCTTCTTCTTCTACTCCTTCTTCTTCTTCTTTTGGAAGGAGTGAGCATGTGTGTGTGGGGGGGGGGTGGGGAGGCGCGGAGAGAATCTTAAGCAGACTCCATGCTCCAATGTAGAACCTGATGTGGGGCTCGATCTCAAAACCCTGAGATCACAACCTGAGCCGAAATCAGGAGACGGACGCTTAAACCGACTGAGCCACCCAAGCCCCCCTAAATGGTTACTTCCTCTGATGAAGGAGCATGTCGCTTAAAAATTTACATTTCTGGGGACATGTGACAGAAAGATTTTAAAGAGTTTTCTTAAAGAACAGCTTTGGTTCTTGCTAATACGACGAAACTGCTTCTTCCATAACTTTGCGCTTAATGATTTGTATGGGCCCAGGGGCAGGTTAGAAGGCACTCTGTTAAGAGCCCAAGGCCAGAGACAGAAGACCTGGTTCTCGTCCCTGATCTGCACCATGACCTTACCACACTTATGGATGCCTCCTCCTCCCCGCTCCCAGTCCCCGACATATGACAAAAGCTTAGGTGCCCAGCAAATCTTCCCCCAGGCTGAAATTCCCCAAGTCTAAAGCAACCTCATAATGAATCCAATTTAAAAACCCTCATGGAAGCGGCGCCTGGGTGGCTCAGTGGCTAAGCGTCTGCCTTCGGCTCAGGTCGTGATCCCAGGGTCCTGGGATCGAGTCCCACATCGGGCTCCCTGCTCAGTGGGGAGTCTGCTTCTCCCTCTCCCACTCCCCCTGCTTGTGTTCCCTCTCTCTCGCTCTCTCTCTCTCTCTCTCTCTCTGTGTTGAAAAATAAATAAAATCTTTAAAAAAGAAAAAAACCCTCATGGAAGACAACAGTGATGATTTTGCTACTGTTGACCTATAAAGCACATCCATAACAATGTATCTTTTCCAAACATAAAATTTTCCTCAAGGCTAATGGATAGCAACAACGGACAGCCCAGCCACAAGCCCCAGTTTCAAAGAACCAGGATGAAACCTTCCTTCTCTAGGAGTAAGATGGCTCTAGGGAGCAGTCTTACCTGAAATGGCATAGTCTGCATTCATGACCCTCAGAGCAGGGGTGTATGTTACTGCTGGCATGCTCGATTCCTTTCCCTTCTGCTTTTGTCTATAAATAATGAACAAGGCCAGCAGGAAGAGAACCACCAGCACAAGAATGATGATGCCCACGATCGCGCCGATCTGGTAGGAATCAGCCGGGAGAGCCGTACTGGTCCTGCTCAAGCTGTTGAGATTTCCAACTATGATGACACCGGCTAGCAAAGGGAGAAGAGATCTGAGTAAGGACAACAGGGTGCCGGGTAAACGTCTGAACTCTATTTACGAAATTCTCCCACTGGGTTCCTGCTGGGATATTTTCAGTTCATGAAAGGTTAATTTGGAAACTTTTAGAAACTGCAGGAAGGAAAAACAAACATTCTTCATTTGCGGATGTTGTTGGCTCATCTGTGTCCAGAAAAAGGCTGCTCCAAGCCTCAAAAATGGGACTGGATTTCCCGAACCCAAAGACTTCATGGTAGGGTTTGGGAGCTTCTCGCATGAAAACACTAAATAAACACTTAGACCAGACCAGGAATTCACTGGAGGTAATGATTTATCTAGTTTTTACCATGCTTTATTTATTAAGCAGTAGTAAGCTTATGAAGGGCTAACTTCTAAATGCCTCAACTGCTTAACTTAATTTTATGTCTATCTTTAGCATTTCTAAGAGTAATTGTCCTTCCAAGCAAGGATAACTCCATTGTAAATCTGGTCCAAGATGAGATGGGGCTGCCTTATCCTAATTTTAGTGGGCTTTTTACCCTGGGAGATCTTGCTCTATGCAGTTATTTTCTATGACAGAAAGGTCTGTCCTAGTAACACCTGACAAGATCACCCAAAAAGCTTACTCATTAACATTTAAACTGTAGCTTTACATAATTCTTTCTCGCATTCCATCCAATGAGGACAGGAAAGATATGAACTGTGAGTCAAGAAACTGGGTGCCTAAAAAAATTGATCCAGAGATCCTGAATTTTCCTTTAAGCACTTAGCCTGGAGTTTCACCATCTATCTATAAGGGAGGAAACTGGCCTCCAACCAGGTGCTTCCAGCTCAAACGTCCCTGTGACTTTATGATTCTGAGGGTTAGACTTCCTTATTAGACAGCCTGCTCCGAAACACAGAGCATGGAGCCCCGTGCTGTGTGATCACAAGGCGTGTGTCATAATGATGTGATTGTGGAATATAACATCCTATTGTCAGGACAAATACAAATCACGAGAATGTAGAAGTTACTTAACGAAAGGAAATGAACTAGGAATGCCTCTATAGTGCACACTTTAAGGTGATGGCACCTACAACATTATATGAATTTTCTAAAGCCCCGAGAGCCTGTGTGAGTGTTACCTCCTGAGGAAAGCCCCACACACCAGGAGCTCTCTGGGAGCCATGCTCCAGAACCATCAGAAGAACTTTCTCAAAGGCCCCATCCACCCCAGAATCAGAATTGCCCATGTAGGATTATGTATAAGACAACTATTCTCAGGTTATTTTGATGCACACCCTAGTTAAAAACCATGGGCACAAGTTTTTTAAAAAGTTAAGCATATACCTAACCAGACGAGCCAATCATTCTACACCTATAAATTTACCCAAGACAGATGGCAGTATATCTCCATATAAAGACTTGATACACTATTCTTCATATGAGCTTTATCTATAATAGCCCCAAACTGGAAACAATCCAAATGTCCATCTAGAGGTAAATAAGTAAACAAATTATGATATACCCATGCAATGGAATACTACCCAGCAATAAAAAGAATTGAACCATTGATATATACAACAATACGGTTCAGTCTCAAAATGATTATGCTGAGCAAACAAAACCAGACCAAAGAGAGCACAGTGTGATTCTATTTACATGAAATCCTAAGCAATACAAACTCATCCGGATTGACAGAAACTAGATCAGTGGTTGCCTGGGGCCTAGGGGGCAGTGGTGGCAGGGAAGGGTATGAGGTACCATTTGGGGGTGATGGCTGCATTCCCTATCTTTATTGTGGTTGGGGTTTCATGGGTATAAATGTCACATTTTATCAGGTTGTACACTTTACGTTATACGTGTCGTATATATATGTATGTGTGTGTGTGTGTGTCTATCTGTAGCACACCAGCATACACGTGTTGCTTTTTATAGGTTAGTTATACCTCAATAAAGGTGAAAACATGTTTAGGCACATTGGAGACCTCATGAGCTTTGGAATCGGACAAACCTGGCATCTAAGCCCTGACCTACACACAGCTATGTACTCCATATTAGCTGTGCAACCTTGGGCAAATCACTCAGCCTCTCTGAGCTTTCATTTCCTCACCCGAAGGACAGCAATGAGAAGGCATCCTTCTGGCAATTAAATAACCAGTTGTGCCTTGCAGTGTCCTGAGGAGGATTCCATCAGATACTGTAGGTGCAAATACTTAATGTTGGCTGGTACGTGGCGGTTACACAGTGCGAGGCATCCGTGTCCTTACCTTGATCACATCGTGCCCCCTTCCAGCCTGGGCTGCAGTAACAGGTGCCGGTGATGTGGTCACAGGTGGAGTTGTTCAGACAGTCACATATCTGGCGACAGCCATAGCCATACGTTCCTGCAGGGCACTCTGTGAAGGAGATGAAAGTCCAATGTAAGCTCGCCAGCCTTGGGTAGCTGGGCGAGGCCATCTCTTACTATTTGACCCGGTGTGTCTAGAGGGCAGGCCTTCCAGGGCATCCTTGTGCAGGCAGAAGCATTCAGGGAGTCCTAGAGCTGGCCAGAATTCCCCGACTCGTTGGTGGGCTCCCAGGCACAGGGCCAGAGACTGAGCTCCTGGCCACAGCTCCTGACTCCTTCAGCTTTTATGCACCCACTTCCCTGAGGGGTAAGTAGAGAGTCTGTAGAACCCAATGGGACGGATGAGGATCATCGGCAAGGGCAATCTGAGATGAGCCCACCAGGCAAAACGGTGGGACAGAAGACTGAAAAGTATAAACCAGAGCCGCGTCCTCTAGAACATGAGCATTGTACTGAAGGCTCAGTGATCCTCCTACCGGCACATTCTGATTTAGATTAGCTGGGAGCAGGGGACAAGGGAGGTGCATGTTTTGTTAATGTTCTAGGTGAGAACTTCATTTACCATAGAATGGCTCAAAATTGGGAGGAGCAGGTTGAAGCCTGAGAGACTAAAATGGAGAGATTTTTATGATGCACTCTTAATAAGAGCTGGGTGTGGGTTTCAAAGAAGAGCATAGGCATGTCAAATCTAAAAATCATCCCCAAATACTGATGTTTTCTGCAAAGTGGGCAGCAGGGGGCAGTGTGCCATTATTATTGGAGTTCTCTGTCAAACCCAGTGTTTCTGTTTACAAATGAGCATCAGGAGGGATCTACAAAAATAGGAGCATTTTGATTTGATGTTCAAAGTAATCAGGGAAGGACTTAAGCAGCTTTTATTTAATAAGACCATAACCGGTCCGGCCTCCAAGGGAAAGTCAGTTTAGAGTTTGTTCTGGTTTCTATGCATACATGTATGTGCACATATGTTTAGACATTTATACACACAGATGCACAATATTTACATACACAAGGGATGTGCAGGCAATTGTATGACTCAGTGTGGGTTTCAGGATGAAATGAATACCAGTACAAAACTCAAATTGGGTCATCTCCGTCCAGGAGATTCCTGGAGGTCAGTCCTGTTGTGTACTAGATAGGAACGTATGCAAAAATATTTTGAGAGTTCAGCACACAAAACCAAGACAACCTAGCTGTCTAGGGGTGCTGTGAGGTGCTGCTGGGGTGGAGAAGAGGGTGATCGTTTATTGCCAAGGTCCTGCTCTGCTGATTCACCTTTCCAGGCCACATTGCTCCTACAGCCATATAACCTTTGCTGCATCCTTCCCAGGAGCGCCCCCTCTGATAAGCAAGAAAGGTCCTGCCCCTTTCCTGCCATCTGTGATAAGAGGGTGAACCCCATACAGCTCTAAGACCCTACTTACTTATTCTGAATATTGAATGAAAGTCACAGAGGAAAGGAACAATAGACTACTTTGAAATACTCAGTCGAACACTAATTTTCTCATAACCCTACAGATGCATGGCTGTAGGGGATAAAATGGCAAGACAAAGATGCATAATTGCAACAGAGCATATTCTTCAGGAGTGCAATTCTTACAACAAAAAAATTTAAGGCAATATATTGTCTTGAAAGTTGTAAAGATTAAGATGTGAAGTTGCTAGGGGAAACAGTATAAAAGTACTATCTAGAGAAAGTTGTCAGAAGGGGGGCAAAGTTTGCATGGACCTGGTTCTACACCCACAGTGGGGCTGGGAGCCCGCTTGCCCCCACCCCCGTGCACTCAGCCTGGCCCCAGAGAATGCACTTTCGTCCAGGGTGCACTCCGGGCTCTGTCTCTGCCACGAAGAAAACCTGCCTGGCTCGTAAAGCTCTGAGCAGCCCCATTCCAAAAATAAGCAGGAGAGTTAGAGAGAGCCAGGGTGAACAGATGGAAAACTTGAATTCTGTCTTCATCCTTCGAGCCACACCCCCTCCACCCAGAGCGCTGATTACTTACCCAGAAGAAGTTTGAGGGAAAAGACAGTCAGCAAGGACACCCAGGTGGCCAGGTCTCTGGGAGGGGAATGGGTCAGCTGTGCCGGGAAGTGACCGGCCATCAGTTCAAACAACTTAAAAGTTGCAGGTCCTGTCTTCATATTTTTCAGGCATGTACGAAAACGGGTTCTAGGGGAAAATACCACCTCGATGTGTCACGCTCACATACTCACTCTGTTCGCAGTGCTTCCCCATGAAGCCAGTGCGGCAGGTGCACTGCCCCGAGATGTGGTCACAGTCAGCTCCATTTTGACACTGACATATCAACGCACAGTCCTTTCCATAAAACCCCAGAGGACATCCTGTGTTGGGGAGGGAAGGACAGCAGAGTCAGGAGGCTGCCAAGGGAACAAGAAAAACGCTCTTGCTTCCAACTGTTTGTGTTTAAACCTGAAGGACGCTGAGCCACTGGAGAGTGAATAAAGACAACAACGCAGATCTCAGCTTGTCACAAAGGCTTCTTTGAAGTCCCAGGATGGGGCTCCTGCAAGGAGGTCATAATTCATGAGCGGGAAGCAGAGCAGTTCTACACCTGACAGTTTAACCCTTGCTGGTGCTCCCAGAGACAAGACGAATATCTTCTAGCATAGCATGCCTTCGACCCCATAGAAGTATGGGGGCGTTTCCTTGTATTCTTTGACTCAACTACTAGACTCCAGGACTCAAGTGCCGTGGACCGAAATGAGTGCTTTATATTAAAATCACATGTATGCTTTTACTATAGTACAGAGCGTCTCTAAGTTCACTATAGCTCTGTCCCTGTATCTGTCGCTAACTTAGATAATATTGGCTCCTTCACCAAAGGTGTGTAGTAGGATGCTAAACTTAGAAAACAAAAAACAAAAAACCCCTGCACTTCACAGGTGCTTTGTAAAAAAGCAATAAACCTTACACCACTGCATGATTTCCAAAACCCAGACAGACCTCTGGGGCCTTTGGGCTGAGGACGTGCATGAGGCCTGTGGGCTGTCACGGACCAGCAGTTGCCCAGCAAGGGTGTTCCAGGGCTCCCTGGGCTAATGCAAGCTTCAGTACGGCCTGCGTCTAGGGCCATTTCTAAGTATCACATGGGATTTTTACTTTCCCTTTTTCTTGGAGAGCTTTTAATGAAAGTTCAACGCTCAAGAAATAGACGTACAGCACAGAGATCAGCATGCATGGACAACTGCCATCGCCATGTTTTTATCCAGCACCTACTCCGTGCCAGGTGCTTTCCACGCGTCCTTTTACTGAATCTGCACAGCAGTCCTACCTGTAGACGGGAACTCAGCCCCGAGGGCCCCCTCAGTCACAGAGCCAGCAAGTGGCAGGCTGGCCATGATAAAAACGCGGGCAAGTCTGGCTCCAGACCCTGCGTTCTTCCCACCGTCTTCTGCTACGTCCACTTAAAAAGGTCCTCTGATTGAGGTAGACCCAAATTTGGGGATGATAAATAATAACTTATAAGCACTTTTCTCTAACGAGCTCGAAAACCTTTCTGCATGTACAATCTTGGCAGAATATGCTCGAGACAAGCTCTCTCTTAGCCAACTCTCCCTTTCGAATCATGGTTCAAGGTCTACACCCCCTTCCAGAAAGTTCCAAAATTCTTGTACAACCTCTTCTCTAATTATGTTCTCTAATTGGTATTCAACAAGAATTGTCTAATTCCTGATCCATCTTTCCTTCTCAGCTCATTTCTGTGACTTAAAATTATGTTATTATTAAAAATTTTTTTAAAGAATAAATTATAAATTTTCATTAGTAATAACCATAATTTGTGCTTTCTTGTCTTGTCTCCTCTATTCATTTGAAGACAAGAGGACAGAGAAGAATCTTTTTTCCTCCCAACAGTGCTGAGCTGTGGAGTACTTTGCACATTATATGCTCTGATGGTAAAAACCTCACAGAAGAAGAAACGATTAGGACATTATGGGAAATAAAATGGAAAAAAGAACTAGTGGTTCTTAGGGCATGATCCCAGGCTGGCATCACCATGTGGAAAGTTGTCAGAAATGTGAAATCTCAGGTCCCACCCCAGCCCCAGTGAATCACTCTGGGAGTGGGGCCAGCAGACTGTGTGTATCGAGCCACCTGGTGATCCCGAAGCTCGCTCAAGTTTGAGGACCACAGAATGCACTCTTCTCTAAGAGCACGCATTATGTTAGGGAGTGAGGCTTGTCATCTTCACTGCCTTCTAGTCACTGTCACTTACCCCAACCTTTGTGCTGTTAGAATAAATGACAGGGTGTACATCCACGTCACCACCACCCCAATTTGAAAAAATATATAGAACATTTTCATCATTCTCCATGCACCTTCCCAATCAATAATCTTAACAGATCGATTTGTTTTTGATCTTCATATAAAAGGAATCACATATACATACTAAAGGAATCACATATACATACTAAAAACAGTATGTATGTGTAATACATATATATGCACACACATAAACATGTACATATAAATGATAGGGAGTTGGGTGCATATAAACGGGGTCTGGTTAAAAAAAGAGTTAGGAGAGAAGCCGCACACCATCACATCTAGCACTGCTCCACCTCAGTGTCCTGATATGACATACAGACAGAAAACTTGGAACGTGACAGCTCGTAACCATACAGAGACATTTAAACGTCTAGCGGTCATCAGGGAGAGGAAAGGTTCCAATGCCAGGAGTCCTGGCTGAGCTCTGCTCGGGCATGCAAAGGGCGAGGTTGCATCCTTCTTGGCGGTGGCTCCCCTTGGTGAGCCTCAGAAGGCTGGTCGCTTACTCTGAGTGCAGTAGAGCCCCGTCCAGCCAGGAGTGCATTTACATTCCCCGTCGTAGGCGCTGCAGAAAGCCCCATTGTGGCAGTTGCACGTGTGGATGCAGTTTGGGCCCCAGTGAGCAGGTGGACAAGCTGAAATCACAGCACGCATGGAGAGTTCTGTTAGAGCCTGGAGGTCAGCACCCAGCAGAGAGAGCTCCGTCCTCCTGCCGCATCTCCTAGCACGTGAGAGGTTAGCAGTGTGCATCAGGACTAAGAAAGCATGGGGCTCCGAATCTGATCCCCAGATGGCAAGGCTGACTGCAACAGCAACCATCATTACAGACATTGTGTTCATTGACAGACTGCAGAGTAAGGTGCTCAGAGCAACAACCAACTCAAGTGTATCGATCTAGCTCCTTAACAACTGTACATTGAGGTCCTTTGTGCAGCACCATTCTAGACACAGAAGGGATAGCAGAGGACAAGACAAGGTCCAGACCACTCTCTGAAACCTTATATTTTAGTAGGGGAGGCAGGCAGGCAAACCAGCCAACCAACCAGCCAGCCAGTCAACAGAGAACGTAGTGGCAACAAGTACTATGAGAAAAAATAAAACAGGGTAATGGGGGAAGAATGACCAGAGCTAATCCTTCAGGGAAGGCTTCTCTGAAGAGAGGACATTTAAGCAGAGATCAGATGGGCTAATGATGGGACTCGAGAGAAACTAAGGGACCAGTGTCACATAAAGTCATACTTTATTCCAGAGCTGTTACTAGAGACTTGTTTAAATTTTAAGGTTTCAATTATATGTAAGAATCGGTTTACTCATAAAAACTCTTAATTGGATGATGCAGAAAATAAGAAAAGAGAATCGTTGGGGGTCACTGCCCAATGAAGAGCAATAACTTCAGATAAAGTGTCTGTGAAATTGTATAACATTATGGGGTAAAATGATCTGATTTACCAAAAGCAAACAAATAAACAAACAAATACAAAAAACCTATTTATTTATACTAATGCTTTAAGAATATCATTGCTTTAAGTGAGGACCACCATTGGATCTACATGAGACAACGGATGTTAGCTGAACCTACTGTGGTGATCATTTCACGATATATCCACATCAAATCATCATGCTGTATGCTTTAAGCTTATACAGTGATGTATGTCAATTACTTCTCAATAAAACCAGAGGGGAAAAAAAGGAGGACCACCTAGAATTTTCTGTTTGGTTACCCAGTAGGGAATATGGCCCCATAAAGATAATACATCTGAAGGAATTTTAAAAAATGGAAAAAAAAATTCTCCCATGAGTGTGTGCACCATTTTTGCCCAAGAACAAGGGAAAATTAAGAGCTGACACTTGAGGTCTGAAATAAAACTGAGAATGGACTTCCCTTATACTATACCCTCATTTTACAGACAAAGAAGCACTGAAAAGTGAATAAGCAAAATGCTACCTATCTAGGTTCTTTCTAAGACATACTTGGATTTAACATAGGAACATTGCATAGAGTTCTTAATGGGGAAAAAAGCCGCTTAAAATTAAAATAATGTATATTATAATTATTCCTATATTATTTCCTGATTATAGAAACACTCATACTTCCATCCTAAGGAATATGAAAACAAACAAATGTACACAGCTGTTCTCAAAACAAGACTCACGTTGAGAGCAGTCACTGCCGATCCAGCCCGGGTAACACTGACAAGATCGGTCAATGGGGTTACAGGTTCCGTTGTTGGTACAGGTACAAACTCCTGCACAGTTTTTCCCAAATCTGCCACTGGGACACACTGTGAATAAGTTATATCGGTCAGTAACGCACAATTACATCTCAGCTCACGGAACTCTAGTCTTGGGGCAGGAAACGACTTTGAAAGCCATCCTCCCAGCAGCCCGTTCACTGACTGTCTCCACTCAACAGTATCCCTCATCTTGAGTGGGCTCATTTTTGCAGACACATGAAGCCAAAGATTCTCACGAAGGTATCCCAAACCAGGAGACATCATCACATTTCTAGAAATCTGACTTCATGGCCGCTCGCTCAGGGAGTCAAAACCCTTCTTCCCTCTATGGATTTTTCATGGGAGGCTGTTTCCAATTAATACCGAATGAAGAGATTCTGCCGGAGCAGCAAGCTAGCTTTTCGGAAGCTCCGAATCGTATCTGCAGAACTTGAAGACACAGTGCACCAGCAGGCCCCGAGAGCTGAGAGTGGAAAACATGTCCCCAGGGAAGCCCAAGGACAGACCGTGTGAGGTTCGCACATCACTGCACATCTCTCCAAAACACTTGCATGCCTCACCTTCATTGCAGAGGGCACCTGTGAAGCCAGGTAGGCAGTCACACAGGCCCGTGATGTGGTGGCAGGGCCCACTGCTGTGCACACATTGTGGGCATGTCTGGCTGCAGCGATGCCCATAGAAACCAGGGGAGCAGACTGAAAATAGAATGGAAATCAACCGTTATCGTTCCTGGGATATGTGCCTCTCAAATTCCACATCAGCATCTAGTTCCAGTTTGGGGCAAAAAGAAAAATTTAACAATATTGAGAATTTTCCAAGTATAAAACGACCACCATGGAAGGAAGAAGGATACTCTTTAATAATAATGAAAAGAAACCGCTAGCCTGGATTGCTCGAGGGCAGGCAAATGTCCCGGCCCTCTCAATTTTCTCAGTTATGGTCCTAGTCAACTTGAGGCATGACACAGAATGGGGCTTGAGGAATTTTTGTTGAAGAAACAAATGAAAGGAAATAAAATTCTAAAATCCCAAATAAATAACTCTCAAGCCATGTATCGATCCTTTATTCTTTAAGAGTCATTACTGGCTGTAAATAGATCTCCGGGCTGCATTTAAACGATTGTTCCTCCTCAACGTGGTCCAGAGAAATCATGGTGATTGGAAAGGGAGCAGGCAACAAAGCCTACATAATTAGGTCCTTCTCAAGCCATTCCTCAGATTTAAATACAGGATGAATGCATAGAACTTTTAATGAAAAAAAAGTCATTTAAAAATTAGGATAAGATACCTTATAGTCATGTACTCTTTCCTTGATTACATTTACTGAACATTTTAGTAAACAAACTGAGGGTTCTAGAGGGGAGGGGGGGAGGGGGATGGGTTATCCTGGTGAGGGGTATTGAGGAGGGCACGTTCTGCATGGAGCACTGGGTGTTATGAACAAACAATGAATCATGGAACATTGCACCAAAAACTAATGATGTAATATATGGTGATTAACATAACAATAAAAAAATTAAAAAAAAATCTTATGGATCCCTTCCTAACTTCAAAGTCCTATTGACCCATGTCAACAGCCCCCATGTTTACCTCTGCAGGGCTATTTTCCCCACAGCACCGGCTGTAAGACTACTAGCAGGATGTATGATTTGCCGCAAGGTTTGGCTGATGTTGACTTCTGGTAATTGAGGTAAGGCCAATGCCAAAATTGCTGAATCAAATATTTACAGGTCAGTGGATTTCTGGAACACCATTTGTAAGATTTAAGGCAGGATCAAGAGACATATCCTGATGATGATGCCAGGGAGGCATTGAAATCATTCCTGAGAAGGAATGGCTACAGCCCCATCTGTTAGGTTCGTCCTGCAGGTTGGAACGAATAAAGCTCTTGGGGCAGTGCTATCAAGGACAGCTCTGCAAGGGACAGGGAGACCTAGTATCCTCCGCCCTCGACTGCAACAGAACAGCACCATGCGCTGAGGGGTGGACCGTGCCTGAGAAGGGAAGGCAGACATCTCCCTCCCATGAGATACTTACTTCTCTGACAAGTGGTGCCTCGGAACCCTGGTGCACACTCACAGATGCCGTCGTCCGGGGAGCACGAAGCTCCGTTTTTACAGTAGCAGGGCAGAGAGCAGTTGGGGCCCCAGCGCCCCTCAGCACACACGCTGTCACAGTGGACACCTGAAACAATGCATACGAGCAAGGCTGAGTGAGAGGCAGCGCCTCTGGGATGCGAAGTCCCAGACGAGGACCACAGTCATGGTCCCCAAGCTGAGTGATCCCAGGCAACAGTGAGCAGAGATGGCATAAGGTTTAAAATTCACTTACAGATGTCAGTACATCATCATATATGGTGTAGTCATGTATTGTGTCATCATAACATTAAAATAATCCCAGAATGGTTTTCTATGGAGTCATAAAAGAGCAGGAATAAAACACTTTTATTATACTGATTGTCCTTTTTTTAGAAGGAGGGAGCAAATGGGAAGCCCAAAGGCTCTTTCTATTAAAGGCAAAATTTATCAAAACATATTTTATCATTGAGCCCTCAGCAACTTCCTTCTCCCCTCCACCATCCTTTATCTTTACAGAGAAATGAACAAAGCATAAAAAGATACAGAGAAGTAAAAAGTGGTTAAATTGTTTTACATAAAGAGAACCTTCCCCCTGGAGCAGATGCCATCGTATAACATTTTGATGATACATTGTATAGCATGGGAAGATATACTCCTTGGTGCCACTAAATTCCTCTTTAAAAATTTCATCTGACACTGGGCAGATAAAGGCAGAATATCACAACTGATGTTATTTATAGCTGTTGTCTAAGTTATTGATTATTAGGATACTATATGTAGGTTTTTAACTCTCACCCCGGGAACAGAAATTCTAGAGCTGGTTGTGAATGAACAACTGCCTAAAGAAAACATAAGGGAAAGGAAAAAAAAAACAAAGTCGCAAAAATAAAAATAAAACCAGGTTTTTTTGAGGTCAACAGAAGTCTCTTTGGTAAGTTTGCTTTTGAAATACAACAGGCACCACCTCTTTCTTGTAAGTCAGAATTCTCCGCAACTCAAAGACATGCTCTCTACATTGAGAAGCAATGAGTTGTAACTGGTAGTGAACTGGCGATGGCTGGCTTCAGACCAGGGGAAAACACAGGAAGAACAAGCACGCACACACTCAGGGATTCCAGAACGCTGTCACCACCCAGCACCAAGGAAGCTGAGAAAGGCATGTTTTGTATTAGTTTTTGCTTCTATGGCCCAAACCTTAAAACAGGAGCCGGCCCAAACTGTAACGTGAACATGGGTGATTGGTACGGTGTCGTTTCTGCTGAGCTGTAACTCTGCTTTCGATGGTTCCCGGTTTTCTCCTCCCGAAAGTCTCCCACTTGGTAAAGGCTGTTAAGTAGGCATGAAAGCGCACAGACCTCATTGTGTCTAGCTGGAGCCAACAATAGACGATTATTTGAGCTTGCACTGCTGGCTGAAGGAGGAGATCAGACCTGTTATAAATTGACCTGGGTTTAAGGATTCCCTACAGAATAAAATACAGAATTATGGCCTACCACGATTTTTTTTTTCTTGAGTTCGCAAATATATGATCTTTTTTTTTAAAAAAAAAAAAAACCTCTTTTGAAAAGCTAAGTGGAATGGCATTCAAATGCTATGCTCACCAAATGTGATTCGCCAGCTATAGAGCTGTATCCGGTGTTTTGGCTAGCACCTATACAAGGCAGAGCATCAAACATATTGAGGAATAAACTGCTTCAAAAGGAGGCTGCAAACCTAAATTTTGTTTTGTGAGTCTGAAGGAAGTATCAACAAGGGTAACCTGTGACAGGCTTCACTCTGTTCAAATTCAGGTCCTGAGCTCTGACCACGAGCCAGGACTCCTATTTAATGGCAGCTAAGATGGGGACACCCGCTTCACAGATACTCACACAGCCCTGGCCATTTGGGTTTGGAGCCATTCATGCAAATCCCAGTTAGGATTTTGGAGATGTGGAAGCTGAGTTAATCTGAAAATCATCCTGAAAATTAGTCCTCATTTTTGGCACATTTTTGTGGGGTGGGAGCTTGAGGAAGGGGGGATTTAGCCATTCATGGTGATTTGGTTATTAGCCTCTTGCCAAATCTCTCCTTCGCATTAAATAAATGCAGGGAAGTTGGAATGGAGCACACTTTAGGTCAAAATTCTCTGCTGCTTTTTTACATTATAGATTATCATAATTTATATATGACTTAGCACATTCTCAATCAGAGCGTGTTAAGAAAAATGACTCCAGGGCAGATTGGCAAATCTGAATAAAGTGATCTTTTATTTCGTATCTGACTCGTCTTCCCTAATAGGTTTGTCCAGCTGGATAACATAACCATCTGTCATAATCAACTTTATCGAGGTAATTTTCATAGAGTAACAGGACCCATGATATAGCAAAGAGATCCATTACAATGATATGCTTGTTTCACATGATTTACCCATGATTTCATTTCCAGAGAATCACAAGGAATTCTAGAGATCATCTATCAAATCTTCTGTCTCCAATCGTATAAGCATATTTCAGCTGAACTAAGCTTACTTTTAAAAATCTTTTATTTCAGGATTGCAAATAAGTCTTTCCTTAAAGAGTAAATTATAATAATTCTATTACCAACTTCCCCTAAAAATTCAATCCCTCTTCTTTTTCTCTACCATCAGTTAAAACGAGTCATCATTTTTCAGATATTAATGCTTAGTCGATTTGTAGACAAACATAAAGTATGAAGCTTCATTTTTTCCTCTTGCTGTCCCATTTTCTCCTATTGCTACTCCTCCCCTTCAGAGCGCTGTGGGGGAAGCTGTTATCTTTCCCCTCCTCTTAGAGTCAAGAAAAGATGAGATAAATTGATTATTATTGAGTTGTTACCTTCTCCAGAGAGTACTTATATTTTAAGGGAATAAGCATGTGAGGAGCCTAAGAAATAAATCTCTAATTGTGAAATACCAGGCAGTGAGGCTCACAGAGTGGGTAACTGGGTAATCACTTCTCCAGGTTACACTAGGTGTATGGCTACTGATGTGACCTCTCTTGTAAGGCTAACCCTGCAGAACAATTTTTTTCAGGATAGGGAATTGTAAGTTTGCTTTAACCATTTTTTTTTTTAGTGTGTGTGTGTTATTCTTAAATTATTTCCACTGATTTCACCCCAATCTTTGCAAACTCGGCTGGAGGCCTACAAGACATTTTGCTGTTTCCTTTTTTAATCAAAGACAGAAAAAAGAATTCAACTTCATCAACATTCAAGAAGTCCAGCGGCTATTGGCTTCCTGGTGATAGGTTCTCTAAGAAAGACCTCCAACTGTAGAATGGTAATGGCCCAGGAATAAGCACCCCTAACTCTGTCTGGGGATCAGAGTCAGAAAAGGAAATAGCTTGTGAAGGTGGACAAGGGTTCCAAGCTAATGTAATGGTGGCTGTGAGACTCAGATGTCCAAAGAAATACAGGCAAGTGGAGGGCAGCTAAAACTGAGGTTGGGAAGGACAGGGCAGATGTTTGGACAGCCGGGGCGTGGTACGTAAAGAAAGCCAAGAACGCCATGCTGTGGGGTGTGAGCTTCTCCCTTGGGGGTGACAGGGACCAAATGGACAATTAAGTAGGAAAAGCACATAATTAAATTTGCGGTTGGCAGGAGGGCAGAAGACAGTATGAGGAGGATGAGCCTGAAAGAGAGACCTGTGTTAGGTGGCTGCTGTAGGTTACTGCGGGTAAAAAAAAACAAAAGATAAACATGATAGTCTTAAACTAAGTCATTGGCAGTTGGAATGCAAGGAGGATAAATTCCAGAGTAATGCAAGAGAGAATGGACATGAAAGATCTATACCTGCCCCCCCCCCATATTCCATGCATTCATTGATGAATGAATTCTGTCAGCTCCCTGAAAGAGACATGGGGGTTTTGCTCACCACAGTGCCTAGCACATGGAGGGTGTTAAAGATTTGTGGAATGCATCAATAAGGACAGTCTCTCTTTCCAACATGATATTCAGAACCATTTCCCAACTGGATGGAGCAACCATATAATTCTCTCTTTCCCGAAAGAAGGGACGAGAAGCACATGCAAACCCGGGAACCCAGCATATTTCTATTTTGTGTGCCTAAAATGGTGACCCTTCCCATCTAAGGGGGTGGAAATGTCTGCCTTACAGATTTTGGAGAAGATATACCTTCGTGAGCTCAGGTCTGTGTTTTTTTAACGCTAGCCCAGATTATAAAGCAATAGAAGAATTATGGAGGCATCTTGAAGAAATTCTTTTGGAATGTTTACCAAAGAACAGATAAAGGTTCTAATCGGAATTACTTTAGGAAGCAACTCCCTAACACATTTGGAAGAGGGGCAAAATGGGAAGGGGGTATCTTTAAATTTGAGGGGATCTCTGGTTCAATGGAAGCATTTTTTCCTGATAAACATTCTAACGCTGATAAGGCGATCTGTGAGGGACTGTTTTTGCCAGGACTGAGGACAAAGAGTTCTTTGATAGCCTTCCCAAGTTGCTAGGCAATGGCTGAATGATCGTGATAAACTTCAGCTAAGCAGCTCTAAAGAAATGTTCGTGCATTTCATGCCTGATGCATTATGCCAGCAGCCTCAATGTGAAACCAGCATTCACTAGGCATTTGTGATTGCATGAATACGGTAAAATAAATCATCTGGGGTGTCATTACTTCTCCCTCTCCGAGATAGAACCCAAACTCCTCATCTTGCTAATTGTTCATATTCCTTCTGAAATCTTTGGGGGCATTAGTGAACAGAGGACGTGATTTCAATTCAATGTCTGGTTCCTGAGCAACAAGCTATTAAACATACATTAGAGCGAAGAGAGAGATTTGTTAATAATAATTGGGCTTGATGATTATAGAAGAGAAGAACCACAGTATAGAATCGTAATACTTTTTCTGCTTTTCTAATCCTCTTGCTAACAAAGCAGCCGCTTACTGCTGGCGTAGAGACGGTATTCACTGGCGTATCCCCCTGTGCCCATGCAGGGTCTGCCCTGAGAGGACATGAGCTTCTGCAGGCCAGGGGCTGGCCACGCTTCACCCGTGTTCCTGGCACCACCCAGCACTGTGGCTGCACACAACTTGGGAGACACTCAACAAATGGTTGCTAAATCGTTCTATTTGGATGCTATGAATTTTA